TTTTTTTATTTACTTAGCAACGTGTTATTTCGAAAGGTCAAAACTAACGAAGTAACATGTTTCCAATCACACACATTTGAACATTTATAAATACAAAACTATATACATATATTTCGTAATCCTCCTATCATTTACTATTACTTACCATTACTTATTGATATAAATAAATAAATCTAATGATTAGGACGTAAAATCAGTAACCTTCTATTTTTCCTAAAAGAAATAAAAAGTCTAATTTTTTTATATCGCAGATTCAATTATTTTCAAATGAATGGCAATCATCTTATTGTAAATTATTATTACATTTGTAGTTGTATATATCTTTATTTTTAGTTGAGACAAAATCCCTATTTCTTTAAAAATAGTAGGTCACGAGTTCACGAGAAAATTATTTATTTGTAAATCTTTCCTTATTTAAAAACGAAATATTATTTAAAATTTATGTTAAAATGGTGAAGTGCGAGTAAGTTTTCCTCTACCTATTGTGAAAAAGTTGGGTACCACTCTAATTAAGTAGATGATTTTTTTTTTTTTTTTTAATATCGATGTAATGATATATCTTAATCAAAATTCAAAGTAATTTCTGTGTTATTTAAATATATTTACTTAGTATTTACACAAGGTTAAATAACTAAAAAAATTACTCGTTCAAATTTTAATTTAGCCAGTTTACAAAAAAAAAAAAGGTAATTCTCATTTGAAAAATATAAGTTGCTATCTCTGTAGGACGCTCTTTATAAGGACAAGAATTATCTTTATAAAAGGTAAATTAAGGATGGACATATTTATAAATCACCCTTAGCTATTATTAAGCTTATTGAAGGATAACCAAAAATATCACTTAAAAATGCATTTTTTTTAATCTTTTAAAAAAATCATAATGTCTCGTATAGATATTAAATTAACTTCAATTAACAGAAGAAAAATATAAAACAATTTATCTTGAATTAAAAATTCATTAGCTCTACTTCCCAGACTATAACAGACTTAAAATCGAACCCTTTCAACTCTCAAACATTAACCATTCTCACCTAATATTTTTAATAATTAGGTACTTTAGGCTGTTTATAATTTGTAATTATTTATCATTTAAACGAAAAACATAAAGTAAAATAATAATACTATCAAATAATTATATAGTATTACAATTATAAATGTAACCGGCCAAAAAGTAAGAAAAAATTGCGAATTGAAAAAATTCAACATTATAGACATTTATCGATGTGTTGAAAGATTAGAAAAATTTAGAGAACATTAAACAGAAACAGTTCATTACTGGTGCAAAAAAAAAAAAGCATAAAAAAATATATATATGTACATAAAAAATTTTCAGAAAAAAATACGTAATCTAACCTTATCTTACAAACGACAATATTAATTATTTAAAATTTATCGCTTATAACTTAACCATACAAATCTAATCAAAATAATTAAAATAATATTTTTTCGTTATTTTGGAATTCTTGATAATATAAATTTTGCTTTTATTTTTTCGATATTATGGCTTATAATTAATTATAAAATTTTGAAAGAAAGATACTAGATATTAATTGCCACAACCATTTCAATAACAAACTATATTTTATTAAAGGTTAAACAATACTATAAAATAGAAATAAATATTATTGTTACCTCACACGAAAAGCTTAAAAGTACCTAATATTAATTAATAGTTAAAAATTTTAATTAAAAAAATAATAATAATAATAATAAATTAATTATAGGTATTTCAACAATTTAGTACATATTTACATTTTTATATCATTCATACTATTGATTTAAATATTATTCACAGATCCCACTTTCGCTAATTTTTAACTTTATATCATATTGTTGTCAAATATCAATTCATAATTAATTTATTATTTAGTAATATTTCATGAGTATATAGTTTATATTTTATTTTCTGAAATTTCTTTTGAATGTGTGCAGTTTTTTGTAGGCCTTCTATCAAGCTCTGATTAAGGGGGCAGGGAGGGGGAACGGTCCCGGGGCCTACAGATTTTGGGAGCACATCTTTATCGCCAAAATATATATTTTTTAATGCATTTAAAATAGTTTAAAAAAATTCTTTTTGTGGGTGTAGTAGGTGATTAATAATTATAAAATAAAAATGTTCTAAATTTTATATCACGAAAAATTACTAAATGATAATAAATATTAAATTGTTATTCTAATAATTGATAGTGTATATATGGTAATAAATGATATTAGGAATTCTTTATATATGCACATGGGGTGCCTATATATAATAATAAAAATAATTGTTCGGCCGATAAAGCATTTTCAAAATTTATAAGAATAAAAAATAAATAAAGAACAAGCCAGACTCAGCAAAATTTAACATCATTATTCATTAATGCTATCATACTCAGAAAATGATAAATTGTATTTGATCGATTTTAATGAAACTATTCAAAAATTTTCAAAAGAAAAATTAAGAAAATAATTTAAATTATTATTCTTTTTAACAAATACAATGTTTTGTATATATATTATAAATATAAAATATGTGTAATAAATTATTACATATAATATATAACTATTAATTTATATAGCCTTGTATTATTTTATTTGTTTTGTACAAAATTATACAATAATATACAGTCTTTAAAATGTAGTGATACAATTTTTTTAAGTTAAAGTTGAAAGGGAATTGACTAAGTTTATAGTGTCCTGGGGCCCAATCGATCCTTAATCCAAGCTTTCCCTATATCAATGAGCCCCTGAACCTAAAATAAATTCACCCTACTTTCTTATACCTTCAAATTATGAAGATCGAGTATCTAATGTATAGGTAACAGGAAGATTTTTTTTTATTAATTTAAATATATTCATGGTGAAATTATTTTAAGTAAAAATTTATTTTATTCTATAATTTTACCTTCATTAAAATTTTAAAAGTGTATTAAATATTTAAATGTAATTTTTATTTAGGTGAATAATACATTCGATACAAAAAATTAAAACTAGTGATGAAGGTATCAAAAAATGTTCTGAAAATTGTTATTGAAGTTTTTTTGTGTGTATGTGATACTAATGTTTTTTTTACAGCAAAAAAATTATATCTTTATCAATATTTCCTACATACAATTTATCATACAAACGCCATAGCTGGCCCGTAGTTCTATGCTAATACTTCATCCTCCACCTTTAGGTACCTAACCAGCTAGTATTTTACTAAATACTCAATGAAATTAATAGATACGTTCATGTTTATTAATCTTAAATTTGGACAGCAGCCTTAAAATAAATAAACATTTTAATTGTCCACTGAACGAATTAAAATAATTTTGTTTAATGCTTCAACTGGCATTTATGGCAAAATTAAACTTTAAACGAAGCCATGACAACAAAATGACATTGCGATTAAGTTATGGTCACTTGGATGGACACATCACGTCATCGCCTAAACTACAACAGACGACTAACGCACGAGAATCTTTTCGTTCAATATTTATCCTAATATTTTATAAACAAAAGCATTAAATATTCAAATATTCATATGTATTGTGAAATGGTTAATAATGTTCATAACATAAGTTCGAATAGATATGTTATTATTTTATGTATAAATAAAGCTTAAATATTTTACGCACTAATGTAAATCGTAATATACCCCATCCTCATAATATTAAACTATAAAAAAAATACGTTACATGTAGACTGTGGCAGATTTGACTGGAGAAGTGGAGGCGACGTGGCGATTGCCCCCTTGGAATTTTTTTTGTATAGAAAAGGGGTGGGCAACTGGTGGCCCACGAGCCTTTTTTATCTAAATATATAAATGTTAATTGAAATGCATATTTTGAATGACCTTTTTTTTTGCTTTCTATGTTCTGGCTTGCTAGATTTTAATTTTCTAAAAATTGGCCCTTTAGTAATACCAATTACTGCCTCCTTAAATGAGCGTCAGATCCGCTACTACATGTAGACAGTATTATTAGTAACTAAAAAAAAAAAAAAATATGTGGCATAAAAATAATTGGAAACGGGAATCAGTCAATATTCAATAATTAATTATAAAGTAAATAATAATTGATGGAAATGTGTACCTGTATATCTTCCGATAAAAATGCATTGAAGCTGTGCCAAAAAATATTAATACATTTATTTTATATAACTGACAATAATTGACAAACACACAAAGTATTACACATTTGCGTACTTCAAACTACCCACCTACAAATCCAACAATTATAAAATATTTTATTCTGTGATAAATAAAATATTAAAATAATCTTTTTTTAACGATTTCAACTATATGTATTATGAATGTATGCAAATCTTTACCCAAAATTTCAAATGTGTTACGCTGATAATAATTTATGACTTTCTTTATACCACTTCGATTTTATAATGAACCTATAAATATTTATAAACACGATATTGACATTAAATAATAGCTAGCTTTTTTTTAAGACGGCGTTTTGTATAGGCAATATGTGTACTTACAGGAGAATAATAAAATTATATAACATTCAATTTGAATTTAGAATATTAATGGATTAATAATACAGTTTACTATTTTCTTTATACCTTATTTATTTCTGTGGACATGTACATGTAAATTATAATGATAGAAGTATGTTTGATTTAACTTGAATTTGAAAAATATTAGTTTTCAAAATAAAATAATCTCTTGATTTGAAAATTTAAACACTTAAAAAATGGTTTTTTTAGTTCATACATTTTTTTTGTTTAATAAATTATTTAAATAACTAAAAAATTTTAAATCAATTAAATTTTGTAATTAGTTAATAATTTATCTATCAATTTTTAACTGTATGCAGTTACTTATTTGCTATTTACTTTGAATGCATCAATCAATTATTTAAATTAATATTCAGTAATTATAATGTAATAAAATTATAATTAATTTATCATTAATAATTAATGTGCATTTCAAATTAATGGAAAATCTTACAAACTAATAAAAGTTTATATTTTTTCTTTTTTTTAAACATTATGAAATAGACAACAATATTTTTTTATAATAACAATATTTATTGACAAAACAAAAAAAAAACGAAATAATTAAATATTCATAAGAGATACCAATATTGGTCATTGCAGCTTCTAACATCAGTCAATATTACTAAAGCTGATCAACACAACACTTATTGGTGAATTTGATTTGTTTTATACAAAATATACGTCATATATATTTTTTGTGGAAGTTATGTTATGTAATTAAATTTAATAAAAGATCTCAAAGAATTGTACACCTCTGCAAAACCAAACTGCAACATTGATTATCAGTTTTAGTTGCATGTTGTGGTGGTATCAAGTCTAAATCCTCAGATTCTATAGATCCATGAAATTCTTGTAGACTGAAAGTATCGCTCAATGTTTGCCTAGCCTTTGGTCCAGGAAAAAACCGTATTTCCATTTCACTATAAAATAAATCAAAATGTACATTTTTAACTTTTAGATGAATATATATGTAAGAAATACCTATCAGATGAATCCCAATCTACTAACACTGGTAACTTATCAATTTTGGATGATTTGCTGTTTGGAACAGCCATTTGATTATATTCCATCAAACCTGGTTTAGCATATTGTTCTGTTATAAAACACAAATAAAAAATTAATTATAATTCAATAAAAATATGATTGTAAAATGATAAATTCTACAGGAATAATAGCAATAAAGAAATAAAAACTAAAATTGATAAAAAAAAAAATCTTACCACTGTTTTTCTTTCATCGTGCATTCGTGCATGATAAAATAATTCAAAAATTCAGTTAATGTTAAAGAAACATAAAGCTAAATCTAAACAAAATATACAAAAATAAAAATAAAATAGGATGTTTTTCTACAATAAAACCATACAATAATAAATAAAATAATATGTTGATTGTTAACTGGTTTGTTGACTTGCCCAATTTTTTTTGGAAAAATGAAGGTTTTGTAACTCTCATTGAACAATCACTTATGTTGCTGTCCTCATCACTGTTCTACAATAAAAATTAAAACATTTATTTCATGATTTAACTATATTTTTCTACATTTTATAACAATTTAAAATAATATTATTATAGTGTTAAAAAAATAAAGTATTTATAATATAATGAACAACATTCGACACCTAGAACAATTAAATTGAATAAAACAAAAATTTTAAATGAAATTTAAACTGTATTAGCGTTATTAAAATGTATACACAATAATATTAAATCAGTATATAACATATATATAGTTACTCTGTCATTTTCTTCAATTGTAGTTTTATGACGCTTTGTAGTATCGCTGTCTATTCCACTATCGTCCATCTAAAATACACAATTCAGTATGATATAGTTTGTACAGAGAATAAAATACAATAATTTGGCTGTTTGGCACAAATTTTAAAATGGTACTATAATAACTGAATAATTGATTGCTTGTCATACATTCTGTTACACACATTCAAAATAAAAATCTCTAACTTGTATCCACTTAAAATTACAATAATAGTAAAAAAAAAAAAAATTAAATTAATGTCATGGGCAGATATCTGGGGGAAGAGCTTAGGGCTTAGAGTTCCTCCCAAATTGAAACTTTATTATTGCTATTATTGTTGTTAGGTATTAATATTTTGATTATTCTAGCTTCCTAAAAATGCAATTAAATGTCCACCTGCGATTAATGTACTTATTTTTTTAGACACAGTTACAACACTGACCATATTTTATTATATTTCAAAATAAAATTATTATTCATACGTGATCTAATAGTATACATAGATAATTTAAAGTTGTAATTGGTACATTAGATACAGAAAAACAAATTTTAATTAAATATAAAATTTAACACTTACCATGATTAACAGAATTACGAAAAATTAAATTTCTAATCTTGTTAAACACACATAAATAAATAAAAACTTTAAAGTTGAACAAATTCCGACACCTTAATTAATTAATGGATACTTTTTTTTTAAGTAGGTAGTCTGGTAGACACTAGACAGTTCACAGTACTACATTAACAGGACGTCTAGACTCTAGACAGTAGACGTACTATTTAGTATTAAGTATTTACGTATTAATCATAATATTCAATCATAACAAGTCTATACCCGTCTATCTTGTCATTTACAACCGTGGTTTGAAGCGATAATATATTTTGATAATACAAATTTTATTGATAACACGGTAGATATTTAACATGATAATAATTATTAAAAGCTACTGGTGCCGAATGCCGATGTTTAAATGTTTCAAGATTTTTTTGTCATTGATTAACTCGCTATAAATTAAATAAATAAAGGCTCTTTAAATGTGTTAAGAAAAGAAAACATTTTTAATTGACAATGATCGAAGGATTTATTCCCGAATATTTCGATTGGATTAAATGTACATTCAGTAGAATTGAAATTTGACTAATTTATATAAACGGTATATTAATAAAAGTAATTACAATCGAATACGTAAAATATATTTCAAACACTTAAGGATTTTCATATTAGCAATGCATCATTCTCAATGTTCTTTAACTTCTAACTGAATTACGATTGTTGTAATATAATCTTTAAAAAAACCAATATTTATTTAACAATCATGATGTTTAAAGCAAAAATCTTGTTAATTGGAATCATACTCACTTTGGTAATCACTCTATTATTATCACTGTTATATGTGCGTAAGTACCTACATTCATTATTAATTATTAGTATCTGATGAATGTGTATGAAATATCAAATATTTGGCATTTATTTTTTGTTTTAATAGATGCTTTTTTTTAGGAGAATTTGAGAATGGCGGAAATATACGGTTAAAAGAACAGGCTTCTTCTGTGTTTAAGGGTAATAAACTTGGTATCATAATACCATTTAAAGATAGGTTTGATGAGCTCTTAGAGTTTGTGCCACATATCCATTCGTTCCTGAAAAATCAAGATGTACTCCATGAAATATTTGTTATCAACCAAGTAATTAACTGTTAAATTTAAGTATAATTACAATAAGTTTAAAAACATTCTTTTTTTGTTTACTATTCAGGTTGATCAGTACCGTTTTAACAGAGGTTCATTGATTAATGCTGGGTTTAAAGAAATAATGTCCTCATATAGTATGATTGATTATATAGCTATGCATGATGTTGATTTATTACCTCTTAATCCTGCACTTGATTATCATTATCCACCAACTGGTCATGTTAACCACATTGCTGCACCTCATTTACATCCACGATACCATTATGCTTCATTTGTGGGTGGTATTCTACTTATTACCAAGTATGTAATTAGTATTTTATTTTAATATGATTTGTTGTTTTTATTTTTATTCATTTGTTTTATTTAATTAGAGAAGACTTTATACAAATTGATGGCTTAAGTAACAATTATTGGGGTTGGGGTCTTGAAGATGATGAATTCTATTTACGTCTTAAAGAAGCCAAGATAGGTATTCATAGGCCAGGGAATTTAACAACAGGCATATCAAATACATTCAGGTAAGAGAAATGAGTTTTATGATCAAACATATTTAAAATAAGAAAATGTTATAAAATTTAAGTTTAATTCTTATTTTTAGACATAATCATGATCGAACTGTTAGAAAACGTGATATGACAAAATGCTATAACCAGCGTGAAGTAACAAGAAAACGTGATAGACACACTGGATTACATAATGTTAATTATTTTGTAAAAAAACAACATGAATTGCTCATAGATGGTGTACATACAGTAGTGTTGGATATAGAATTAAAGTGTAATAAGACTTTAACTCCTTGGTGCTTATGTTCAGAGTATGGTATAAAAAATACTAAAAATCTAAAAAAAGGCAAGTGAATATTTAAGGTACAATGATTTAGGTGAGTTTAAGATTAAATTTTACAGCTATGAATTATATTATAATGTTAATATTGCTCAGATAGTACAAATTTAAATTTTATTACTTTAATACCAAACTTCACAAATTTATCATGAAAACTTTAACATTTATAATTTTAAAAAACAACATCAAATCTGAATTATGAATAAACTTGCATATGAAAACAAATATATTATATAGGACAAATTTAAATAAAGAAACCCGTGAAATTGCCTACTATATTTGTTATCTAATTGATAAATTTTAATATTTTTAGCTTCCTTTAACTCGACACATTTAGTATGCACTGATATTTATTACTTTTTAATATATGAGGCAATGTGTCCAACTAGATATTCCAGTTCCTGGACAGAAAATAATGAGTGTATCAAGTTCCCTTGTATATATTTACTATACACTTTAACAATTAACTTTTGATGCAGTAATTGTGTTTAAATTAAATATTAGTAAATAAATATACATAAATATAAAATTGACATTACTAATTGTTAAGAATAAACTCTAGTACAATGACGGATTTAATGTCACAGAATAATCAATCTGGAACATCGAGGGTATATCCAGAATTTTTTTTTGAAGGGGGTCTTAAAACTGTATAATGTATATTGTATATTTACTGAATTCAAGTTTTGACATTTAGTTAAAAATAAAGTATATAAATTAAAACAATGTTAAATTATTAATAAAATAATACACTTAAAATATGAAATAAAATAATATACCTTTAGAAGTTTAAAAAATAATTTAATAATACGTTTTTTTTTTTTTTATCTTGCTTACTCATTATGACAAATTTATTAAAACTATTTGACATGTTTGTCACTGTCTGGCAGACGACAGTATAAAACTATGATAATATTTTTAATTTACACAAATGTAATATTGTTGTTATTTATCAATATTGACCGGCATCTATAACAGTTGTTTTCGATCAATAAAAGTCTATTATTAGATGCTAAAATAATATTTTCATATGATATTATGATACAATACACTATACAGTAAATAATCAACTTAATAAGTTGTAATTTTAGCCATTTATGTTGGTATTAAAAATAAATAGTTATTTTACATATTTTTAAACCATTTAAGAAATTTTGGGAATGAGGAAGTCCAAGGAGTTTAGACCCCCTCAAGTATGAGCTTGTAGGACATTAATTTTTTATTAAAATTATGTTTTATATATTTCTTGTATCTATTATTTTATTTAATTGCAAGTTTATCTAAGACATGATTATTCTCTAAATATCTATTGTATTAATATCTCATTTCACAATTACTATAATTCATTAAATGTTGAGGTATGAACCTAAACAGTTATTAGTCAAACCATGTTTTTTTTTTTTAATATATACTTTTATATATGTTGGTATTAACTTGAAACAATTACTCGTGTATTTAAAAAAAAGTTAAATTGAAGTTTAAGTATGATGTAAATCCGTCCCTGATCTAGTAAAAATTTAACATCTATAAAAATAGAACTTATTATAATTGTGTTCATTTAAGTTAGTAATAATTAATAAGCTATAAAATACAAATTTTAAATTATTATTTTATTATAGATTGGATTTTCTTTTGTTATTATTATTATTATTGTTGTTATTGTTGTTGTTGTTGTTGTTGTACAAATTGTTATATTATTTGTAGAAAATACAAAATATTGTATTATAGCTTAAAAAGTTGACTTAACATTCACTTATAGTATAATTCAGTTTATTGTATTATTATGTGTCAATGCAGTGTATTTTAAGATGTATAAATTATAATAACTTCTGAACTATAATAATCTCAATCAAAATAATTTAATTGCCATAGGAAACTATAGATTTATTAAATGTTATTTATTTATTTTTTTCATAATTTTATTGGTTTTTGATCTCATTAAACATATTTAGCCATAATGTTTTTGTTACCAAAAAATTATGATTATATTTTTATCATTATTTTTAGTTTGTTTAATTTTTTTAGCAACATTGTTTTGTTTTTTTTTCAGTTAATTTAACGTTTAATTCAGTATTGTAATAGTTGCTCAAATAAAATAAATAAATAAAAATATTTAATACATATTATTTATTTATTTTATTCTTTAATAAATAATAAAACCATTTGCTATATATTTAATACAAAGAAAGTATTCTTATTTTATACATAATTTAACATCTTAGATGTGTATTGTTTGCTTTATAATTTATAATTCAATGTATCAAATAATTAAATAATCCATTTTTATGATTTCTTTGTTGTGTATTTTATGTAGATTCTTTTAAAACAGAAAACCAAAAATGTTTTACATAAAACAATTGGGGTATACGAAGCAGATATGTTGCTATAGATACTTGTTTTTATTTTTAATATATAGGTATATGTATATCATTCTTTAAGTTTCCCCCTGGTTCTTAAAGAATACATTTTATAATCAACTATAACTTATGAAATTCTATGTCTTAATATTTATCTATTTAATTTGTTTTTTTGAATAATAATTTAACAAATTGTTAATTTTTTATAAATAGCTTTAATAATCTCTTATCATTTATTAATATTTTATTATTCATATCAAATCAATATTTATTCCATTTACTAAAATATTATTAAAGATTAAAAAACTAATTCATTGAGTAATCACACTAATAATTATTTGTCCACAAAAATTAAAACAAATACCTACATTATTTTAGTTCATAAATAATTGCATAATATACATAATACATCAATCATTTATAGGTACTCAGTTTTTTAAGTTAATTTTATTTCCAATATAATTAATTATTAATTTCATGCTTTTATAAAAGTTTTTCTTCATTAATACTATCTAATGACTTGAATACATAGGTAGTTAATATTCATATTCGTGTTTTTATCCACATATTTTCTTCGTCAGTCGTCATGGGCTCATGGCCATCAACTGTGTTATCTTAAATATTATTATCATGTACTATCACTTATTTAATTAATTATATATTATAACAAAAATAAAAGGATTCATTAGAAATAATTATAAAATTTATTATTTGGATTTATAGTTATTCGTTTTAAACGTGAATTTTAATATTTTATAAGATAAAAGAATATAAAATGTACAATTCTAACAGGTAATAATTATATATTACAAAAAAATTAACTTGAATTTAATTTAATGTACATATGTATTTATTATACAACACCATGTTTGTGTGTTTTGTTTAATTTCAGGCCTAATTTTTCTGATTATAATCTTGAAAGAGTTTCCGCTAATAATAGAAACCATTATAATGCTACAAGAAAACCCAAACCTTCAAAATCAAGAAATTCAAAGGTTGATAGTCGGCCACCTAGTTGTAATGAACAAATATCCGAATTCTCTCCATTTCAATGGAATCAATCCAATCAACGATTGTATCCTACAATGTCAGACTCTGCTGTTTGTGGTTATCCTGTTCCAGTTAATATACCTGTCGACCCACGCTTTCATACCTTGTATCCTATTTATCAACCGTACATGTCAGTTGGAGTTGGCAGAGAATATTTAGAACCCAATCAACATATGTCATCCAGAGATCAATTTACTAGTTTACCTCCTATTAATATTGTGGACAACGAATCTGAAATTAAACGTACACATAGTGATCCAGGTTTAAATAATCAAGATGATAAATTTGAACTACTTAGCAGCGAATCAGACAAAGAATCGTATGATACCTATTATGCTAATGAAGTGGCTGAATTAAAAAAAGATAATCAAAGATTAGCTAATGAATTAGAATTAGTGAAAATTGAATTAAGAAATTTGAAATTGGATTTATCAAGCAAAAATAATGACAAATGTAGTTGTGCAGATCCCGGATCTATTATAAGTAAATTTTCAGAATTATTAAATATGTGTATGTATAGTGACATTGAATTTAGTTTTCAATGTAGGCCATTTCTCCAGTTTTCACTTTTTTGATGCCTTGATAAAATTAACTAAAATTTGTGATAATAATGTATGATTGTGAATACGGTTCCATCTATTTAGGATTTGTTTGCAATGATAGATTTCTGAGTTAATTTATGGTATGAAAAACATTAATTATAAACTTAAATACATACAATTTCTTTCAGTACCCCAACGCTGATATTTATTACAGGTATATATTATATTTTACTTTACCACAGCTACTATTGGTATCTGAAATGTACTGATCTGCCATAATACCATCTATTCCACTTCTTAAATACACATGATAAATTCATAACACATTTTGGACATTCCCTACTGAATTGTATTACTTCACAAACTTTTGTAGGCATATGCAGACAATATCCACTTATGTAATTTTTAGTGAGATAATAATAACATTCATATAATGCAATTTTTTTTTTTTTTAGATATTGTTCAAGAAATTAGAGCAGCACATAAATTAATGGAACAGACATTAGAGGCAAAATTAAATTCATTTAACGCTAATAAAAATGAAATTACTGTAAGCAATTTCTATAAAAATCTTGCTGTTAACTAATTAAACTAAATAAACAATTTTTACAGAATGATAGTACTCAATTATTATTAATAAATGAGCGGCTAGAAAAATTAGAAAAATCAAGTGACAAATCAAAAAGGTAAAATAATAAGACCTATAATTACTATATACTATTTTTCTTTTACTATCTTATAAGTAGTTATGTAGGGAATCGTATTAAATAAAGTTTAAGTGCCATAGTACACAAATTATAGATTCAAAATTATCATATTAGATTTAATAAATTCCCATCAGCTTAAAATTTGAAATGTAATATTTAGTGTTTATAAATTTAAGAATTATTTTTATTTATATTAAAATTATTGCTAATTCTAATACTTTAAAAATTAAGTATCTCTTAATATAATTGTTACAAGTTAATCATATATCATGCATTTTTTATTAATAATTTTAATTTAAAAAAATTTTAAATACAATTTATTTATAATATATTGTACACTTTGTACTTATACAGTATTTAAAATCTTTTTTTTCTCTGATTTTAGAATGGACTCGGAGAAAAGATTAGTTAAAATTAATAACCCACCAAAAAAAAGCTCTGCTGTGACAGCTTTGTGAATTAGAAATAAAAAAAAACCCACAAATTAAAAATCAAACATAATAACAAATCATGCCATAAATAATTTAACTCAATATTATGTTAATTAAAATGACATGAGCAATATTGTATTATAGATATTTAATTATAAATATTGTAAATGATATATTAATTAACAGTATTTTTAAAATTACTAAAGAGTAATGACTACTTTGTAACATAATGTATTTTGTAGAGCCTTTACTTTTTAAGAGGTTGTATTTATTAATTTATAGAATTTAAAATATTGTCAATAAGAAACATTTAGAGATTCTTTTTAACAATATTTATCTACTAACCACATATTTTTTATAAAGTATTGTGTTATATTCCATAAACGTATTCCATTTATATTTTAATTAAAATAAGATTGTTCATGTACATTCCTTCCATAATAATAAATAAAATTTTTATTATATAAATAGTTAAATTATATAAAACTGAGTAGATGTATTACTAACTAATTGCATGTTCTAAATATGGTCAGTGTGTAGAATGAGTACTGTAAGTATTCATTAGAATGTTTTAATATTTAATCATTTATAAACTAACAAATATT